TTCCATCATATCCTGCAATGCCTGATGTAAGTAGGCCTTATCTTTATGGGCCAATAATATATCATCCATATAATGTATTAAATATATTTCTTTATATTTCTGTCTTATATTACATATGGCTTGGTCTACATATTTCTGACATAAGGTAGGGCTATTTTTCATGCCCTGCGGCAAAACTTTCCACTGATACCGTTGGTATGGTCTGGTAAAATTAGGAGAGGGCACACTAAACGCAAACCTCTTTCTGTCCTCTTTATGTAAGGGGATCGTAAAAAAGCAATCTTGCAAGTCTATAACTATAATAGCATAATTTTCAGGGATGGCTACTGGAGAGGGAAGTCCAGGCTGTAAAGCCCCCATTGTTTCCATGGTTTTATTTATTGCTCTAAGATCTTGTAATAATCTCCATTTTCCTGATTTTTTCTTTATAACAAATATAGGAGTATTCCAAGGACTATTAGAGGGTTCAATATGTCCTGCCAATAATTGCTGTTCTACTAATTCTTTTGCAGCTGCTAATTTCTCAAAAGTTAGGGGCCATTGTTCCACCCATACAGGTTCCTCTGAAAGCCACACTATAGGGTCAGCTGCTTTTAAAACAATGGCCCCCGTTATAAATTTGGATAGCCCACTCCATGTTTATCATTTTTGGACTCAGCAACCACAGGATATAATCTTCCCTCCTGATTTTTTCCTAAACCTTTATCTGGGTCATATCCCATTTTTAACATTTGTGAGGAGACCCAGTCATCTGGACTATACAGGAGCATTCCCATCTGCATAAGTATGTCTCTTCCCCAAAGGGAAATTGGTAGGCCAGGTATTACATAAGGACAAAAAGAGCCTGCTTGTTTATTAGCAGTATTCTCCCAAGTTAAAATCTGGGCACTCTTAGCTACTGCTGGAGCAGTTCCCAGACCTGTTAACATATTGTCAGCATGTTGGGTGGGCCAGCTGCTAGGCCAATCTTTTTCTGCTATGCAGGAAGCATCTGCACCTGTGTCTAATAAACCTTGAATATTTTTTCCATTAATTTTTAAAGTTTTCAAAGGTCTATTTCTGCTAATCTCTTGAATCCAAAATGCCATATCACTGGAGCCAAATCCTTTCTCATTCCTAGCTTCTTGAATTACATTCTTTCCTGTCTTATAATATGGTAGCAATAACAATTGTGCTATTCTTTGTCCCACATAAATTTGCTGCGTCTTATTAGAGGGAGCAACCATTATTTGAATTTCTCCTGTATAATCAGAGTCAATTACTCCAGGCAAAACTGTTAAGCCAGATAAGGAAGTTGAACTCCTACCAATAATTAAACCCATTACTCCTGGGGGCAATGGACCTTTAATCCCAGTTGGTATTTTTATGACTGGAGAGTCAGGAGTTAGTATTGTTGCGGAGGTGGCACAGAGGTCCAATCCTGCGCTGCCTGGGGTGGCCCTAAACAATTCATCGATTCCCCTGAGGGAAGAAAGGGATTGAGCGTCTGGTGAATTGCCCCTATTGTTTGTTGGGCCCGGGGTTGGGCCCGAAGTAAGTTTCCCGAATTAGTTTCAGCAGGTGCATCTGGAAAAACAGGTGCAGGAAATATTGGCATCTGAGCTCCAGCCTGAGGGACTGTAGAAACCCCATTAGGGGGAAGAATGTGTCCGTCCTTGTGATATTTACTCCTACACAATTTAGTCCAATGATTTCCTTTCCCACATCTTTGGCAAGGAGTCTTTGGGACCCCAACATTACCAGGAGATATCATTCTAACAGGACCTGCTGGAGGTATATTTTTATTAGGACATTCCCTACTAAAATGACTTGCGCCTCCACAAGCAAAACAATTATTTCCTTTTGGTCCCCTAGGGTTTTTTGTTTTTTGAACCATATTCATCATGCATTGAGGAAGTGTTTCTCCTTTTAGGGCGGCTGCCAAAGCAATCCCTTGCATATAAGAGGGACCCACGTCAGAACATTGCTTAATGAAATCAGAAATGCTGCCAGTTTTTCTGATTGGCCGAATCAAGTTCTGACAAACAGGATTGGCATTTTCAAAGGCTAATTGTTTAGCTAACATGTTAGCTGCATCCTCATCAGTTATCACCCTTTTTATCTCTATTAGCAAGCGAGAAACAAAATCCTCATATGGCTCCTCAGGCTTTTGTCTTAAATCTGTCAAAGTGGAGGCTTTTCCTGGAGTCAAAGGCAAAGACTTCCAGGCATTTACTGCACACATAGTTACCTGCCATAAGGCCTCCTTTCCCATATGCATCTGCTGTTCGGTGGAATCATATTCTCCTTCGCCCAATAACATATCTTTAGTAATATTAAATTTATCCCTTTTCTTATTTAAAGCATGTTGTTTAGCCACCAATTCTTCATATTCTGTTTTCCAAAGCAAATATTGTCCTCCAGATAAACAGGCCTTTGTAACCTGAATCCAGTCATATGGAGTCATCCATCTATTTGCCAAGGCATTTATAAGAGTCATAGTATAAGGCGCCAATGGTCCGTAATCTACACAGGCCTTTTTAAGTTCTTTTAAAAGTTTTAGAGGCAAGGGATCCCAATATACATCATCATCAAATCCGTCCTCAAAAATGACTGGAAAGCAGGCTGCAAAAGCATAATCATCATCTTCACCGTTTATTCTCCTATGCCTTTTATATTCGCCTTGACCTTTATTAAAAGGTGGTGGAGGTGGTGGGCCCCTAACATTTAAAGTTGAATGTCCTGACCTTTTTAAAGGGAGAAGTGAAGAACTTAAAGGTGCTGGTGGGGCGGTCGGTAGACGACCCAAAGGGCGCATATCCTGTAAATTAGGCCTATTTTTCTTAGTTTCTTGCATTGAAAAAGCACCATGGGGTTCATACTTTCTTCTTTCATAATCATATGCAGCAGCATCTAAATTATCCTGATCTGCAGGAGGCAATTCATCATCAAAAGGAGGGTTTTTTAACAAATTAGACTTAGTATCAGCAGGTGACTCATTTTCCTCCTCTGAGTCATTGTCATTAAGGTTACAGTCTTTTAAAGCTGCAGCCAAAACCTCAGTTTCTTTTGATGTTTTTGGGGAAAGTAACGGAGTACATTCATCTATTACTTCTGCAGGATATTTATATGGATTCTTTTGACCTTCAGGCAGGGGAGCAATGCTCTCTCTAATAAGGTTCCATAAAGTAAAAGTATCTACTGGAACCTTCTCAGGTCCATTTTGATCGTAATATTCTTGCAAAGTTTGCCCCACCTTTTGCCAGGTTTCTATGTTAACTGTTCCCTGTTCTGGAAACCATGGGCATTGCTCCTGTACAAACTGAAAAAACTGAGTTAGTTGCTTGTTAGTTACCTTAATTCCTCTTCCATTTATCATATGTTTAACTATATCAATGAATAAGAGCCTCTCTTTGGACTCAGCGTGTCCCATCTTGACACCGCCTTACTCACCTTCCTAACCAGTATTCCTTAACTGGGGGTCTGCAGCACCCTACGGTGAGACTCCTATCCGTCTGAGAAAGAAATAATACTTACCCCTTCAGGTCCCTGTGCGGGCGCCACTTGCCGGGGACCAGCCCCAGCTGGACAGGTTTCACCCAAAGGGGAGACGGAGTCGGCGTGGACAGAGCACAAGACACCTCAGAGGATGCAAGGATCTGTCAGCTTTATTGCCATGACTTCAAAATACTTATACTCTAAAGCAATCTCATTTTCAATCTTAATAACCCCATTCCCATGTCAAAAAATCCCTTACAAGAGCCATAAAACAAAAGTAATTTACATAAGCAGATTACATCAGCAGGTTAAACAGGTTAAGTAATCTTCTTATCGCTTGTAGTTTCTTTCATCTCCTGTGGTCAGGTATATCTTGGTCACGTCTAGGTCAGGAACTCTGTCTGCGGTTTTATCATTGTTCTTAGAAGAATTAGATGTTTTTGTACCTGTTTGTTCTGTTCAATCAGCCAGATCTTCAAAACACAAACTCAAGCACATTATTCTTTAGCACCAGTAAATATTTACAGGCTGTTTCAATCTATCTTTATGATCAAAGCAAGACACAGAATAATCAATAACCCTAGGGGGTCTTGGGGGAGGGCATTGTACCTTAAATTTGCCACCAAGTTCCTTTGCAAAATACTTACAAAATATAATTTGTGCTTTATATCTATTCTTATACGGAAAGCAATTAAACTTAAAAAAGGCTGCCAAATAGTCTACTCTATTCAATTTGCTATATACCTACTGTAGTATAAAACCTCCCCTCCACCATACCCAAGTGTTTCCTAACATATCTCTAACTCCCCAGGAGGGCCAAAACTCATTCAATTTGTCTTCTAAAGTAAGCTTTTGCCACACAAATGCTCCTGTTGTATTTTCCTGAACCCAATGCCCTGGCCTGGGAGTGGGGATATCAGGTGTAATCATTAAGGGAGCCAGAGTAATCACAATCTTTTTTGGTTTTACCCTAGGTCGGGGTCTTTCCCTAAACCCTCCATCGAAACTGGGAATATTTCCCAACACTAATAGCAATCCCATAAAAATCACCTTAAGTAAAAGCAGGGGAAAACAAGGGGAACCACGCAGAGGAGAGCTTTGCTTCTCCATATTTGTACCTGACAGTACCAGCTTTGCTTGGCACTATGGGTCTCGTCCGTGCTGAGACTCAAAGGCACTTCCTATACGGCTCCCGACAGACAATTACCCAATATTTCAACATCACCATAAATGGGACTCAATAGAACTTACCACAAAAAGATGGGATTATAAATATGAATACATAACTCTTAGTTATTTAAGTTTCTCTTGTGGAGCACAAAAAATCATTTTATGTAACACCAGTGGTACATGGAGCCCACCTTGGGAAACATTGTTCATAACTTGCATTTTCCCACAGCTTTGGGGGAACCCAGTTCTGTCATGGAGAGAATTTTTTTCCTCAAATGAAGACTAATTCTCTGAACCCTGGGTGTGTGTGGCTGTGGGTGTGTGTCCCTGTTTGTGTGTTTTTCCTCTTCCAGATCTTTGAAGAAGAGCACAGTGTTTTGTATCTGGATCAAGGTGGAGTCCTGGTTGCTATGAAGCATACGTCTCTCCCGATTCGACATCTCTGGTAATGAGTCATGCACCTTGATGGTTCTGCACAGCTAAGACCAGTCTAAGTCAGGCTGTCAGACTGTGATCTTGCTTGTAGTAAATTGTCAAGGTCTGCTAGAATGTAACTTATACCTTTGCTTTACTGCAATAAGAAGGTGGAGGAAAGGAGAGAGAGGGAGAGGGGAAGAGAAAGGGAGCTTGATTCTGCCTTTTAGAGCGGAACCGTATTATGGTTTTCAAATGTGACAGCCCCCTGCCCCCGCCAGTACCTCCAGTACCTTATTCTTTCAGTACAGTCATGGGTAGAATGGTTAGCAAGGATAATCTCTGAATAGCTTAATTTCTTGCAACCAGCTTTCCCAAATAAGGTCTCCTGGAGTTTAATATTTGCATTCACTATGTGCATTCTGCACAGAGATCAGCAGTTCATGACACTTCTGCTCTGATCTCATTTCTCCTGATCCTACTTCCTTAGCTTCCTTTTGGGGGCAGTGATATTCTGCAACTCTCCCTGTAGGTCTTCCACAGATGGACGGACATTCAAGGCTTAACTTCCAGAGGGGTTTCCAATAAACTCTTCCATCTGTGTTTTGAAAATGGCTTTCTCCACAGGCGGGCTTGCTCAAAGTCAAAGGCTTGATTTTTTCCCTCCACTATTGGTTACTTTGCTGACGAAAGGGAAAGTTGCAGAAATAAGAGAAATAGAGGCTTAGCTTGGGGGAAGACATCCTAGAGAAAGGCAGAGCAAAGGAAACATTCTGTGTGACCATCTGAGTTGCAGAGTTCTCTCTTACTTTCAAGAGTCTGTCCTTCTGCATCAGTTTACTCAGTGAGTCAACCAGGATTTGTAACAATGTAAGAAGGATACCACTAAGGGTTTGATCACATAGAGGTGGCTGGTTCAAGTCCGTCTCAGTGGGTCTCATAACGGCCATTGTTCTCAGAATCACCTGCAAGACTTGCTGCTAAATTGTAACGAGGTTTTGGAGAGGGTCACATTGAGGTCTAAGGCCTAATAAAATATCCAAATTAAAAAAAATCCTATCAAAGACTTATTATCATTCCCGTTTCATGCAGCTCTCCCCTTATTGATGTTATAATACATCTGGGTCCCAAATCACTTGGCTAACTGTATATCTACCTTCTGATGTAATTAAGAACACTTATTCATATAAAAGCCTCACTTTGACAATGCCCCAGGTACTTCTAAAACGTATTCTCCCTGGTTGGTAGTATCCTTTCTTGGAAAGGATTTTTCTTTTGAGATCCGATGACTTATTTTTTCTGTCATTAGGTTAAGTTTTGATGAAGGGAGATCTTGGAGCAAATACAGTTTCACATCTATTCCACTTTTTGTGGATGGAGTTCTGGGTGAGCCTGGGGAAGAGACTCTAATCATGACGTAAGTGGAAACTATGATGTCTTCTAGTCTAAGTATAGAGCCGGAAACATGTTGTTTTTTAGATAAGCCTGTTCACATTGCTACTGTCAGGTTTGAAATTGCTAGCAAAGGCACTACATCTGACTTCATGATTCCACAGCAAAGAGAAAAGAATAATGTGGGCTTCCATTCTCTCGGCTCTTTGCTAGCAATTAGGAGACCCACACTGAGGGCTGGCAGCAAAATGGTACAGCCTATTTCTTCCTCTACTGAGCGAGCTTAGGGAAATTAGAAGTGATTATTTCAAGAGAAAATAAAGCTATCAATTAAAAACTTTAATAATAAACATGCTTGATATACAGAAAATGACAGGCATGTCAGAGTGATTTTCACTTTAAGGCAGAACGCATAGCTTGGTGAAAACCCCACAAAGCGTGTTATTTTTCCCTGGCTCTTTACCTAACCCAATGGTGAGGCATATTAGGGAAACCACGAGAACAGTCTGTTCTTGGGGAAATTGCATTTATACTCATTCTTGTCTGGAAAGTGATGATCATTAATCTGTGAAAGACTTGATTAATGGCTTGCCTGCCTCTGGGTTTCAAAACATGAGCTTTGAATTTGAAATATGAAACTGTGATTTTTCCTTCTCCTGGAAAATTGGACATGAAAAACAGAGAGGGAAGATTTTAAAGCAGTTGATCCTGTCGGCAGTGAAAAATTTTAAATCAAAGTGAATAGCTGGTACATTTTCTAATTTCTTCTCCCTACTCCTTTTTTTTTAACAATAGAAAAGAGCAACAAAAATTTAATATGCCTAATAGCTACATTTTGCCCACGGTAAACATAGCTGGATTAGCAATTTATTCCATAATTTGTCTTCATTCAGTTTTCATGTTTGCAAGACACAGATGAAAAAAAGTTGATTGAAAAGGCTACTTTGTGGCTTTTATTTATATCGGCAATAGGTGATTAAAACACTTCATTAAATAGCTGAGTCTCTCTGAGTAAGGAGAATAGAATGTACAGAGTAGGAAGTAGTTATAACTCCTCAGCCTTGCTGCCCACTTTCCCTTGGGACTGGTGGGAAGGTAAAATAGCATGGAATCCGTGGGAATGATGTACTCTAGCAAGAGAACCTAGAGGTATAATCTTGGACCGCAAAGAAGGCAGTGTCTATGGTTTTCTCAATTTTTTTTGGTTGTTTTTTATTTTTGGTCAACCATTCTTGTTGTACAATATATAAAAGTGGGCTTTTAAGTCAAACACCCTGGGTTCTGACTCTACCAGTTCTTAGTGATTTGACTTTGGTTTTTGCATGTTAACAAAATTCGTTGAGCCTCAGGTTACCGACAAGTGATGTGGAGCCAATAATAGCAACCCTCCTCAGAAATGTGTGTGGGGATCAAGTGATGTGTAATATCAATATTACAATATCAATATTACAGTATTGATATCAATATCAGCGGAGCGGCTGGGCCCGTGAGCCATGGCCGCTGCGCCTGCGCGTCTGGAGCCTGTGCTCCGCAACGGGAGAGACCACAACAGTGAGAGGCCCGCTTACCGCAAAAAAAAAAAAAAAAAAAAAAAAAATGTAATATGCTTAGCATTGTGCTAACCTCATAGCAAGCATTCAGTAAATGACGTATAACTGTCAGCATTGCTGTTATTGTGATTATTTTTATCGTCATGAACTCTGCAGAGTGTTTGGACACTTCAGCCACCGCTCTGAATGGCAGCTGGTCAAAGTGGACTACAAGTCCATTTTCGATAGACGCTGTGCTGAGGAAGACTACAGACCCTGGCAGCTGCACAGCCAGGTAGGAGGGAGGGAGCTGAGGTTGAGTCCTGGGTGGGGGGCGTGGAGAGTACTGGGGGGAAGCAAGTCATTAAAGTGTAGGAATTGGGGTTCTCTGGGCAAAAATTGTCCATCTGGCGCTTTCTTAATGTGTTTTGTGTGCCACAGCAGTGAACAAACTCAACATTTATAGCTTGTTGTGAAGTGACTTCTGTTTTTATTGTACTAGGATATAATGAGATAAAATTCAAATGTGCTTGGCTAAGACTTACAACTCAAAATGAAATACCAACTCAGCACGGAGATCCAGGCATAATTTATCTGAGCGTGTCATCTGGCTGCAGGGTACGGGGGCAAGGGTGAGGAAAGGCTGTTCAGTTTTATCTGGCAATGCAAACAGTAACATGAAATAACAAAGTTATGCTGCGTGAGCGGTGCCAGTAAAATTCTTCCTCCCCAGTGCTATGCTTCCCTGGGATTAGGTAGCGCTTCTTGCCTCCTTCCAAGGTACTTGTGATATAAGGATGCAGAATTACTAATAGGAAAACTTCCTTCATCCTGGCCCCTCTGCTACCCTGCTCATATCAGGATGCTTGGCTGAAAGCATCTCTCCTTCGACTTCCCAAGGCAGAACTCATTCTGCCGGCCTCTCAAAGCACGTGGTAGAGGCCCTTGCTTGCAAAGCCATCACCATATCCAGAGCGTGTCACATCATATACCCCAAACCTAGACTGAATCATATAATTACATGTAGATGTGTAATGCAGCTGGTTAAAGTGAGTTTGCTCAAGAAAGACAGTGTAGACTAGCTTAGACAAAACTCCGTCTGGTCCTTCAGACACACACACAGAGAGCTGGGTTTGACGGTGGGAGCTACGTCAGCTGGAATCCCCCACTCTCCTCGGAGGCTCAACAATCAAAGGGTCGCTCCTTTACGTGACTGACGTTTCCCCCTTTGGAGTGCACACGCATTGGGATATTCAAAGCTTTTATTTATCTTGTGGAGAAACACCGAACTTAGCGCTCTTGCTTATCTGGTAGATGGATATAAAATCAGTGCTATAAAGTTGTGTGGGCAGAGGCATAATGGACCTTTATGTTTCTTAGCGATATTCTTCTTTCATATGCTCATAAATGACCAGATGTATACATTTTTTTATTACAGAAGAATTGAACTTAATGACTACAGATTTTTTGGCCATACACTGTTGGAGGTTGTCTTAGTTATCTGTGTGTCCCTCATAGCACTGTACTTAATACCTTGCCAAGTAAAGGTTTGCTGAATACATACAGTTCCGGACTTTCGGACACACCCTCAGTGCTTCTTAGGATTGCCTTTATCATCACGTTCTGTGATAGGGCTCTAGAATCGAATACGAAATGCTGTTAGCACAAAGCAGCCTGCATATGTCTACATTACACTAAGGTTTGAGACCATCTCCCGGAACTGTCCTGATGTGGAGTAGGGAAGGTCCAAGCTATGTGCCCGACTGCATGAGATTCTTGTCTCCTTACAGGGGGAAGCATGCATCATGGGAGCGAAAAGGATATATAAGAAGAGAAAATCAGAGCGGAAATGTATGCAAGGGAAATATGCAGGAGCTATGGAGTCTGAACCCTGTGTCTGCACAGAGGCTGATTTTGACTGGTGAGCTTGTACTGTTATCTCATAGAGTCGTCTAGTATTTCAAACCCACGTGGGCCTTAATGAAAGCTTAGATATCAAATAATAGTAACATGCGTAGATCCAAGTGACAAGCCTACATTCATGTGAAATTACCACTTGGGGACATCATGGCTTACTAGCTATGTGCGTGTGTATATGGAAAAACCAGGGGTTTCTTTAGACTTAAGGAGGACTCAGAAGATGGCTGGTAATTATCTTCATATATTTGACAGATCTCAGGACAAAAAGAGAGACTAGATAGACCCTGAGTTTCTTCATACAGCAACACTGAAAACAATAAGTGGACGTTTCAGGGAGCAAACATATTTGTGCTCAAGATAAAAGTCTTTCTAGAATCTAGGGTTCCTGGTAGTGGAACAGTGATCGTGTAGGGCAGTAGATTGTCTATACCTGGATGTTTTCAATCAGTGGTTAGCTGACTATTGCTTGTGACACCCACGGAAGACTTTTCTGAATTCAGCGCAAGAATGGAATCACTAGTATTGCCGTCTGTGGCTTTGTGAACCCAGCGGTAAGAGAGACTTCTTCCTTTACCAGGATTAAGCTAGTTTAAACTGGAAAAGGACTAAGACATTGAGAAGTTAAATATACTCAGAGTGCCACAGTGTTCTTTCTGGAGCATTAGTTAAGCAGAAAGCTAGCTTGTGGGTCCAGTGATGCCCTTGCTTTGTTCTGGTTTTGACATTCAGATGAGGTTGAAATATGAGTGAGGATGAGTAGGTGGTAACTCCCTTGATCATGTCCATCTCACTTTCTGTTCCTTTTTTTCCTTCTTCTTTATAAAATTTATTTATATGCTTTTGGTTTAGAGAAAGCATTTGCTAAATGTGTATATCAGTGTTAAATAATTGGAAGTTGGCCAACGTAAGAACCAAAGACATTCATGTAACAATATTAGCCGCGTAACGATCATCGGTCACGTATCTGATCATCAAAATATCAGTGATTGGGCTGAAATACTGTGTACCTACACATCACATATCTTAGAAAAAGGAAGTCATCTGTCATGCTACCATGACAGGAGTGTTCTCTAAATCAGTAGTACTGCTAGTCCCGGCAAACTGGCGGCCAGAACTCAGACCGATAACCCAAGGCTGTTCCTCTCCTGTTGGTAAAGAAGGCAAGCCAAGAGTCAGTTCTTTATCTCTCTGGGCTCAGCCAGAGGGAAGGCAGAGCTTCAGTTACATGGGGGCTCACAAGGAATTCTGGGAGGGCCTCCCCAGCCCTGACTTCTGTTTCAGTCAGTGTAACATTGTTACAATGACAAAAATATTTTATCTCTGTCCTACCTTTCAGGATTGACATCCTGAAATACATTCACAGGGGAAAGTTCCATGGAGAGTGTGTCATTCATCACATCCCTCTTTCTGAAACCTGACTGCTTCTCCTTCAGTCACTCTATGCAAGGGGGAACCGTATGGGGAGTTAACTTTTTATCTTAGCGGTTTGACTTTGGCCTTACCAAACAGTCATTCTTTGGCAGAGAACAAATTTATTTTCACATAGAAAACCAAAGAGAAAAAGTAAGTCCCAATTCCCTGATTTCTTCTGGAAACCTTTGTTCCTTTGGGAATCTTTTCTGCAAGGTTCCAACATAAGCTAGTCTTTTTGCTGTTGGCATTGTCCTGTGTTGTTTTCTTCTCAATTTTAAGCTTGACTAGGGTGAAAAGAACAGGGTAAGAAAATCAATTAAGTTTCCCCCTCCCCCCCATCTCTCACTCCCCTTAGTCTTGGCCCAATTCCTGCATTCGTGATTGGAATCTGCTGCTCATCCCACTAACTAAAATGTAATTGGAGAAGTGGGAAATGCATCATGAACGAGGCCGTCGTAAGGTTACCTGGTCAAATGGGATTTTTGTAACTGCATGATTTCTGAAAATATTTTGGAAGGATCACCATGCTCTTATTGGTTTCTACTAGTAGCTGGAGCTTCAGTGATACTTCTTGACTATAGCATAATGAAAGGTGGTTGTCACTGAATGTTCTCTCTTGGCTTGGCTCTCCCGTGGACAGCCCTCTACCAGATGACCTTGCCTGTTATTCTTCAGCGTTTGTAAAATAATTTCCTTAAATGAACACTGGGTGTCCTGTAGGCAGCGTTCCTGAAGTCTTCCTACCCGTGCTGTGTTGCATCAGCACCAAATCCAGCTGGGATGGGCAGAATTCTAGGTGCCAGCTGCCTGGTGACAGGCCCCTGAGCAAACCTAATTCTCCTTCCCCAACCGTCATGTGCCAGTATCTCACTTCCATTACACAGATGGGCCAATTCATACTAATGCTCACTGATGGCCACCTGCGATTTACCTGTGCGTGTGAAGGTGCAGTTTGTTGCCATACTCTGCGCCCAGTTTCATCTTTCAGAAGCCAAGAATATCAGGCCACTCAGAGGCTCCTGGAGATAAGAATGTGAGGAGGCTGAGAAAAGTCTTTGACTATTTTCAAACTAGAGAGCAGATTTAAAGCAACTGGCAGCATTAACGGCATAGGACGGAGCTTTTCCTTGGGGGAATGCTTGCAGCAGTCCTGAAGGACATTTCCTTTCCTGCTATGACTTTGAAGCATATGGCTTGTGCACAGAGAGACCTGGCTCAGCTCTCCTTGGTAGATCCAGATGTCTTGGAAGAGCACCCCAAAGACATCACTAGCAATGAGGATTATGCCACGTGTGAATGCCTTAAACTCTTCAGTGAAACTTGACACTGAGGACGACTTCCACCATTATAGCTTTCTCCGGGCCCAGCCACAATCAGTACTGTGTCTCCCCCTAATGAGAACAACATCTACTCTCCCAGCTCGAAGGTGTTTAATGGGAATTACTGGGCGTTGAGCTTGCTTCTCTACACATGCACCCCTGTGGCCTCCAAGCTAACATTTCTCAAAATGGCTTCTGTAGAATGTTTTCATGGGTAATTGATAGATATTCCATGGAAAAAAAAGATTCCATTTTTGGAAAGGCTTTGATTCAGTGAATGCCTGTTTTTTGACTAACTGACCAGGGTAGAAGCTGGCTGTGGACTGACGTGCAATTGTTGTCAGTAATGTTGCCATCTACTGAAAGGTTTCTCTTGGCTCTTTCCCCAACAGTGACTATGGTTATGAGCGACACAGCAATGGTCAGTGCCTGCCAGCCTTTTGGTTCAATCCATCTTCTCTGTCGAAGGACTGCAGCTTGGGACAGAGTTACCTCAATAGTACTGGGTGAGTGTCTGAAGCAGTGGCCTTTGGAGGTCAACTTCTGCTGCTTTTCAGCCTGTGTTAAACTTACCGAATTACTTCTGATCAAACGCCAGGCCTATTTCATTACAGCACTGATTTACTTGCTTTTGTTCATTTTAATAATGCAGCACAAATTTGCATTAATAGGGCAAATTTCGTCTGAGAATAAGACCCCAGTTGCAAACAAAGAAACAAAACAAGTTCCTTGGATGAAGGTGGTGATGATGATAATATATACATATCTTCATTTTTTGATACTTTATTTCAGAACTAGTTAATCACATGAGGCTACCTTTTACCTTCACAACATCCCTGTGTGGAAGGCCAAAGAAATATTTCCCATGTGCATTTCCTGTTTTATAGATGTGGAAACTTGAGGCAGAAAAGAAGCTCATTGACTTTTCAAGAGTATCCTAGTGTTAGTAGGAATGTGTTTCATTTTCTCTCTGTCCAGTCTTCACACATTGAAGGCGTGCATTCTGATCTTTATAAATCTGGAATCAGAGTCTAAATTTTGTGTTCAGTGATCTGTGTTGTGGGGTCTATCCAATATTATTTAAGAAATACCATAAAAGGGAAACCATTCTGTGACTTTCCCACAACTGTAACTGATATTTATGGACTTAGAAAATAGTGTGTGGAACTTATTTGGATTCTAATTCAAAAAAACTATTAAAAGACATTTTTGAGCCATATGGGGAAATGGACTGTGGTCTGGTGATTAGTGATTTATTAATCAGGGTTTTCCAGAGATATGTTTTTCTATCTCCAATTGGAGATTATATATATATATATATATGTATATATGTATATATATATATATATATATATATATATATTTAAAGAGATTTGTTATAAGGAATGGGAGCATCCAGCTATGGAGGTGGGCAAGTCCAAATCCTGACATCCGCAGGGTGAGAGTTGGCAAGCTGGGGACCCAGGAGAACAGATGGTTTGTTTCCATCCCAGTCTGAACTGTGATGCTGAGCCAGGAAAGCTGATGGTGTAGTTCCTGTCTGAAGGTCAGCAGGGTCAAAACCCAGGAAGAGCTGATGTTTCCATCTGAGTATGAAGGCAGGAAGAAAGCCACTGTCCAGTTTGAAGGCAGTCAGGCAGGACAAATTTTCTCTTATTCAGAAGAGGGTTAGCATTTTTGTTTAATTTAGGCCTTCAGCTGATTGGAAGAGGCCCACCCACATTAGGGAGGGCAATCTGTTTTACTCAGTCTACTGATTTAAATGTTAATCTCATCCAAAAACACCCTCAGAGAAACACCCAGAATAATGTTTGACCAAATATCTGGCCATCCTGAGGCCCATGCAAGTTGACACATAAAATTGACCACCACAGGTGATATCAGGTTATATCTAAATCTAAATATTTCTATTATACTAACTAAATATATTATATATTTAGGTGTCATAATGATATTTTGGTTAGGCTCAAAAAAGAAACCTTATCTTTTAGAGATACATGATGTATGGCATTTGTTTTAAAATATTAGAAAAAGGGATGGGTTTAGTAAATTTTGAAGATAAATTAATGAGGGCATGGGTATTTATGATACTATTTTCTCTCATTTGTGCATATTTGAGAATTCTGATATTGAAAAGTTAAAAAGAGAGGGAAGGAAGGAAGGAAGGGAAGGAGGGAGGGAGGGAGGGGGAGGGAAGAAGGGGTGGAAGGAGGGAAAGAGGGAGGGAGGGAGAGAGTAGGCACCTCACCAATAGACCAGCATTACTTGACAATTGCCCTTCTCATTTCTCATGCGAGCTGCAATACAGAGGAGAGGATGTTCATGTTTCCATTTACGTACTTTTGTATTTGAAATTTTAAAAGTTTTTTTTAATTTTAAGAAATTACCAAAATAATATATACTACTCTCAGAGCATCTCACCCTAAGGGATTTTTGTTGAGTTATCACATCTGCTGGTTTCATCCGTTCCATTCAAACTGTTTGCAGAAGGAGGGAAAAAACATAGACACATACGTCAAATATTCTTACCTCTGATTGAATAAAGAAATAAGCTGTGATTTATTTGAAGAGAAACACAAAATCTGAGAAAAATACAAATAACATTTTTACAGCAATGGGTCGGTGAGGTCTTCAGCATCTAGCATCATGGGAGAAATTGAAAAGGGCTGGTGAAATAACTAAACTTAATGGTGAAGAAATGCCAAAGACAGGACTTTTATCACTTGCATGTACCGGCATGTTTAGACATTGTAAAGGGCATTAGGAGCCCCTGAAGCTAATTTCAGAATTGATTTTTATTCACTGTCAGTCAGGGGAGCTATACTATTCTCTCTTTGGTATTAATGAGAGGAGACTGAAGTGCAGAGGGGTCTGATTGTTCCAGATGCTACTCACATCACTGTAATAAGACAGAATGAAGGCTGATGACCCCTCACTTTTCAGTTTATTGAGAATATATACGCATTTTAATTTTATAATTATATACATATATTTACACACACACACACACACACACACACACACACACATTTTGCAGCTACCCCTAAATAGGTTTCACCATTCCTTTGGTGAACTCAGTATGTGAAACCCAAATAAATCCTAACCTATATAAAATAAAACATCAGAGATGAATAATTTATAATATTCTATTCAATGGGATTTTTCATCTAGCCCTATAAAACTAACATTTCAATTAAAAAAGTGGTTCGGCAGTATGTGTCCAGGTATATAAATGTTTGTCAATGCAGTTATGTTTATTCATCACACAATCACAGATATTACTTCCTAGGGCTCCACCTCCGCTCTCAGAAGGTTGTTCCTCTCAGTGGGCATTACCTGAGAGCGTCTGACCCTAAGGGATATTTCTTGAGTTACCACATCTGCTGGGTTCATCCATGCCGTTTAAACTTTCTGCAGAAAAGCATCAGCATCAGTGAGCAAGTTTGTGTAAAAGGAACATATGATTAATACCAGTTATCAGCAGATAGGATGAACGCCCTGCTCTCAAAAGTAAGGGGCTCGCAGGTGGAAGAGTGACCACCTGCATAGCGCCGTATGGGCTAAGGTCGGGGACGGGGGTATCAATCGTAACCCCACAGATCAACATACTGTCTAAACTACACATTTGCATCAGGAATAGGAAGACCATTAGCTGGGACAGGGGCCTGAAATCACCCTCAAAGAAGGCCCCAATATCATCAAATTCCCATTTGTGGTGTCTGTAGCCAGCTCAAGAGTTGGCAAGAGATAAAGTGTAGATGAAATTGAAAAAGGACTTTCTGCCCTTCTGAATACCACTCCAGTCCCTGACCCCAGATGTCACTTGGCTCTATGTTGATTCAGTGGCATTTCATAAGCACAGATTCAGTCATCTGTTGTAGCTGCTACGATGCTGCCATTAAATATTTAGCTTTTCACTTACAGATGTTTAATTACAAAAGAATATACATGTTTTCTCTGTTTGAAAAGCCAATTTAGATTATCACCCCAGTCCTGGCCCCCTTTCCCACACAAGTGTGATCTAACACTTGTGCATGTTTGATATGCATGTTTCTAAACACTTTCCTTTGCATTTGTCAGTGAATAATTATGCCAAGAAAAAAATATACAAAATTAATTTTGTTGTTTTTATATGCAGTTTCCTACTAGATATGTTGTTCTTCTAGTTCCCTTTTTCATTCAAAAACATAACTTAAACATCTTTCCAAGTCAGAGTATATAAGGCTACTCTCCATCTAATTTCTTTTCTTTTTTTTTTTTTTTTTTTTTTGCGATACGCGGGCCTCTCACTGCTGTGGCCTCTCCCGCTGCGGAGCACAGGCTCCGGACGCGCAGGCTCAGCGGCCATGGCTCACGGGCCCAGCCGCTCCGCGGCATGTGGGATCTTCCCGGACCGGGGCACAAACCCATGTCCCCTGCATCGGCAGGCGGACTCCCAACCACTGCCACCAGGGAAGCCCCATCTAATTTCTTTTAACTCCCTAGGATTCAAGCACCTGGGATTATGTAGTCATCCCTTTCATGGACATTTTGGTCATTTCCTGTTTTGTGCCGCTATAAACAATGCTGCAGTTAGCATTCTCATAACATAATAATTGTTATTAAAACCCTACAACAATAATTAGAGTCTCTTTCGCAATTGAAGGTCTTTCTGATAGCTCCTAAGGCAAATTCCACCCAGTCAGCTGATTACTTCTTAGAGTTGAGTATCCAGGCATTGCCAAATATCTCCCCCATTAAGGGTTGAAACACCAGCTTCCTGCCCACGCACTGCCTGTGAGTCCCACACATGAGAGATTCAGTTATATTAACTGCCATCCTCCTGTAAAACATGGACACCAATGGGTTCTGTAAGGAAACACTGAGAGGAAGGGCAAGCAGGACTTACCAAGTTAAGAAGGTGTGAAGCAGGTTATTGTAGGCAAAGGAACAAGAGATGATCCAGGTGAAAAGGTCATGCGGGTAGTTTTCTCAAGGACAAGCCCTGACGTTTGTGCCTGGAAGTCTACAGAATTAAGGAGCCATTGGGCCCCGTTTTGAGTCCCTCCAATTCCTGTTTTAAGCCATCCACGAGCATCTCGGGTTGTCAGCACAGAATCTGTATTAGCTTCAGGCTGGGATGAAGTGCAGAGGAATCACAAGGGCAGGGTTGGTTTGAGAGTTCTTGCCTCCGTAGATTTCACTCACCAGGCACCTCACTTGCCTCACCCAGTCTCTTACAGCAGGGCACAGACTGCAGCCATGCAATCAGAGCTTGAGCTGAACAGGTCTACTAAACAATCATCCCTTGTCAATCAAACTTAACAAGCAAATCTGCCAGTAGCACCTTTCTGCGTGTTTACTTGAAAGCATGTAGGTAAACCTTCCTTTTTTTTTTTTTTTTTAAGGCCTCACTTTGTAAATGGTTATGGTTGCTCTCACAGTTAGTTTATTACCCTGCATATATAAACAGTGTTCTCAGGTTCACTCACTTCACTGTGATGGAAACATTCTAGCATTGGTTATT